GCTCTAGAGTGCAGGCTCAGTAGTTGCCGCGCACGCACTTAGTTGCTCTGCGGCATGTGGGATCTTCCCGGACCAGGGCTCGAACCCGTGTCCCCTGCATTGGCAGGCGGATTCTTAACTACTGCGCCACCAGGGAAGCCCCAGTCTGAACAGTTTTTGAATAGGCTGACTAGAGGCACCAAAGAAAAAGGTTCACTGTTGACAGACTGTGTGGAAAACGTCTGGGCTCAGCTGTGGAGCACACGCTGACAGTCTGCCCCAGGTCCTCCTGCCACTCCACTGTAGTTACACCAGGTTGGCACTATTTCCCTCATCAGAATTTCTCAACTCCACACTTCTAATCAAAACATGGCCTTTTAAAATATCACTAAGAGTGGGGAAAAAACAAAACAAACCATGTGCCTCCTGATGTGATGCTCTGAGAAAGACACAATATGATTTACCCAGTATTTTTGCCAAAAATATATAACCTAGATCTAACCATGAGGAAACATCAAAAAATAAGAGCAGGATTTGTAAGCAAGAAAGAAGACCGCAGGCAGTTTGAGAAGAGTGAATCCTGTCTACACGTTTTGGGGGCAGGGTAAACTGGTTGGTAGCAAATAATTTAGTGTGGACAGTGTCTTTGAGTGTGCTCACTAAAGGTATCAAAGAATACAATTTCAGCTGTTTATGGGTTCTCTGGAAATCTTGGGAACATAGCTGTGGAGCATAAGTGACAGGCTATTTCTGTTATGTCCACCTGCGTACTTCGGTTTAGTTAATACACATCTGCCCTATTTACCTAATCAGAATATTTTACTAGACCCTAGTTAAAACCTTATTATAGAACTTCCCTGGTGGCGCAGTGGTTTAGAATCCGCCTGCCAATGCTGGGGACACGGGCTCGAGCCCTGTCCAGGAAGATCCCACATGCCGCCGAGCAACGAAGCCCATGCTCCACAACTACTGGAGCTTGCGCTCCTAGAGCCCACGAGCCACAACTACTGAGCCCGCGTGCCTAGAGCCTGTGCTCCGCAACAAGAGAAGTCACTGAAATGAGAAGCCCGTGCACCGCAATAAAGAGTAGACCCTGCTCGCTGCAACTGGAGAAAGCCCGCACACAGCAACAAAGACCCAATGCAGCCAAAAATAAATAAATTTATTTTTAAAAAACCCCCAAAAAACCCTTATTATAGCCTTTTTGGGTCCCTCTGAATCACATGTAAAATCAGACTTTAAGGACTCTCATCCTACAGCCTCAGCCCCTAAAAACTGGTTGTGACTATAATTGGAATTGCACTGAGTTCTGGGAAGAACAGACCACAAACATGCAACACTTGACTTTGCTATCTAAGAACATAGTGTCTCCACTTATTCAACTGTTTTTCCTTCCTCCTTCCCTCCTTTTCACTAATCTGAAGCAGAATGTAATGAGTTTTTTATTAATCCCTAAGGCAAAACAAAGGCGAAAAAAAATCACTTTAAAAGTGTACACAGGGACTTCCCTGGTGACACAGTGGATAAGAATCTGCCCACCAACACAGGGGACATGGGCTCGAGCCCTGGTCCGGGAAGATCCCACATGCCACGGAGCAACTAAGCCCCTGTGCCACAACTATTAAGCCTCTGCTCTAGAGCCCATGCTCCACAAGAGAAGCCCCCGCAATGAGAAGCCCACGCTCTGCAACTAAGAGTAGCCCCCGCTCGCCATAACTAGAGAAAGCCCATGCGCAGCAACAAAGACCCAACGCAGTCAAAAACAAATAACATTAAATCTTAAAAAAAAAGTGTATAAAAATTTATCTAACATAAAATGGAGAAAAAAAACAAAAGACATGATGGGAAACAAAGCAAAATGGCAGACAGAAATCCAATCATACTGATGATTACATTAAATTAGAATGCATTAAATCCCCCAATCAAAAAGCAGAGACAGTCCAACTAGATAGAGAAGTCAGAGGTAGAAGACTACATTGAATATTATTCTACCTATCTCAAATGTTCAGAAAAGGCAACTTTGTGGAGACAGCCAGCAGACTGTCTGCAAACAGGCATAAGGGAACTTTGTGAAGTGATGGAAATGTTCCCAAACTGGTCTCTGCTGATGGTGGCACAACTCGTAAGTTTACTAAAAGAGAAAGCGAACTGTACACTCACAATTTTATATTATGGAACCAATTAAGTGATTAGATTTTTTAAAACTGCAGTGCAATAGCACTAATACTTAAATTCTCCAAAATAAAAATCGACTGTTGACAAAGATGTAGAGCAACTCGAAGTCCCATACACTGCTGAAAGTCAACTGGTTCAATCACCTTAGCAACCTGAACTTATGCACGTCCTATAATCCGGCAATTCCAATCCCAGACATATACTCAAGAGAAATGCACATACGCATGCACCAAGTCATGTACAACAATTTTCATAGTACCCCTATTCATTATAAGTCCAAATAGGAAACAACCAAAATGCACATCAACAGGATGGAAAACTAAATTAAGGTTTATTCATGCAATGGAACTACACCTGCTGGCAACATGGACAAATCTTAGATTGAGTCCATTTATAGTTAAGTCACAACAGTAGTTATCCTTGGGGAGGATGCAAAAATGGGGGCTTCTGGAGTGCTGGTAATATCTTTTCTTCTCTGGTTGCTGGCTACATGCATGTGTCCCCTTTGTATTGTTTGATGAATCTTTTCACACTGTGGATGAACATGGTTTTGGTATGAATGGAATGCTATACATAAATAAGATGTTTACTAAAATTATAGAGAAATATTTGGAGTAATGGAAAGCTACTGGAAAGGACTATATGAGCAGTGAGATTTTTTGAGTAATTACTTTAATACTTTTTAAATTGCCTTATTTAAAAATATTGAGGATGTAAGTATGTTTATCATCAGAAAAATCAACAATGCTATTTTTCAGTGTGGTACTAGTAGATACTTCTACCTTAGCAACTTGTTAGGAAAAAAAAAACATTGTCTTGTCCCTCAAAAGAATAACAAATACTGTGGAGTCTTAACAAATTAAGTGTATTCTAATTCCTCTTACACACACACACACACACACACACACACACACACACACACACAAAGAGAATGAGCTGAAATTCAGCTGTGGAGAAAAATAAAAGCACGTGGGAAAGTATATTATAGAGGTAAGATCCTAGACTCAACGTTTTGGTTCAAATCTCACCCACCCCCAAGTCCTAGCTCTGTGATCTCAGCAATTTACTTAGGCTCTAAGAATCCTACTTTGGTGCTTAGCTCAAGGGCCTGGTATGTGATACAAGCTCTTATCAATAAATATATAGCTAATATTACTCCCAAATTCTGAAAGTTAGAATGACAGAGCAACTACCCTTTTTAGATATTAAATGTTGCATTAGTTTGCTAGGGCTACTGTAACAAAATAATTAACTGGGTGGCTTAAACAACAGATATTTATTTTCTAAGTGTTCTGGAGGCTAGAAGTCCAAGATCAAGGTGTCAGCAGGTTTGGTTTCTTCTGAGGCCTCTCTCTTTGGCTTGCAGAGATAGCCATATTCTTGCTGTGTCCTCACCTGGTCTTTCCTCTGTGTATGCACATATCTGTGTCTGTATTTACTCTTCTTATTAAAAAAAGTCATACTGGCCCACCCACATGACCTCATTTTACCTTAATTACCTCTTTAAAGACCCTATTTCCAAATACAGTCACATTCTGAGGTACTGGGGGTTAAGACTTCAATATGTTAACGTGTATAAAGGATAGAGAACAGGATCATTTACTAACTTAGTTTTGAATAATTTTTGGAAAACGGGACAAGTATTAAGCATAATCCTCTTCCTCCAAATGTTGAACAGTCAAAAATATTTCATGATTTCGTAAAAATCCCACCAGGAAAAACCTGTAGTAATATTCATCAAATTTCTACAAAAGGAGAAAAAGTAGGCACTCTAAGCTTAAATGTAAAATGGAAGATGAGGGGAAAAAATCACACAGAAAACAGTAATTGGTTTAACTACATACAATAAAAATTTTCTGTATGCAAAAAATTTGAGAAGCAAAGGGGTAGACAGTATTGGGTGTAACGGACCATTATTTGTTATAAAAGCTTTTACAGATAATAAAAATCCTTATCTTCAGAGTTGAAAGAAGTAATGACAGAAATGAATAAAGAAAAATGTATAAAAGCGTTTAACAGAAACGTGAAGTAGAATAACGTTCAATATCCCTTGTAATCAAAGATTTGTGTATCTGTGTGTTTAAAATCCTTGCAAACGGCTAGAATCCATCACTGCTAAGGGGTGAAGAAACTGTATGAGTTAAATCAACTCCAACTTTGTGTCTAACGCCACAGAGCTCTTGGCAATCGTTCCTCCAAGAATTCTGCTTCCTGAAAGTGGAAGCACCATGGGATTGGAACTGTTTTGCACAGATTGGTCATAGCATTGTAAAGGGTAATGGAAAAACAACCCAGCCCATGCAGGACACCTGCTTAGGGAGGGGGGCAGAGGAGACAGCCGGCTGGAAGGCCACCTGCCAATGCACAAGCTGCCCATTACCATGGCTCCTTCTGGTAAATCACAGCACCAGCAGAATGAATGCTGATCGCCTCAGCTTGCATGTTGGAATGCCCACCCACGTGCATGGTCAGAGACTCCACTCCAAGAAAACACACGGGCCCACTGGTTGCTACTCAGGAACCAAACACCTGCTTAAAAATGAGAGGCTCAGAGAAGAAGCGCTGGCATTACCTAACAGCTTGTTAGAAATGCATATTCATGGGCTCAATGTACTGAATCAGAATCAGTGGAAAAGGGGCTAAGAAACTGTGTTTTAGCAAGCTCTCGAGGTGATCCTTACACACATTAAAGTTTGAGAACAAATGATGCAAAAGAAACCCAAAGCAGACTGACCCTGCATTTCTGCCCCCTGTGCATGAGGGCCTGACTCTGACCATAAAATCATAAAAGGGTTAGTAGTTTCAAAATGATAGAAACTAAGAAAAAAACAAAAATAAACCCTCCACCTATCAGCCTCTCACATCAAGATATGAATGAACAGAGTCAATCTTTTATAAATTTGCTTAATTTTGAGTGAGCCAAGATCTTTATGCCATTGGAAAAAAGGAAATTCATTTATTTACTAGAAGGGCACTACAAACTCACGTTTGCAGCAAAAGAATCAAACCACTGTCCATCAAGATACAGGAAAAAAATAAATGCACAGATTTAAGGATATTTGCTTCTCCTGAACTTTAGTAGCAGAAGGAGGACTGTTCTCATGCCCCGGAGAACACTTATGCAACAGGACTCTGGGGGACCTGGGGACCTGGTGCCTGGGCCTTCAAGAACTCCTCGAGTTGTTCCATCTTCTCAGCTGGAGAAGGAAAAATGCTCACTGCTTCAAACTACTCCTTCATGGGGGTGGATGTGTGCTGGCAGTATCATTTTTCGGGGTGGAAGCTCTGAACCTAGGACCTGGAAACAGCGGCGCGACCAAGCGGAGGCTGGCACGGGCAGTGAGGGGCCTGAATGCATCCCATCTCAGCCTACCTTCCCAGGGTCCTGCTTGGACTCCACTCACAAGGGATGCCCAGGGACCACGTGTAGCATACTGGGAGTTTTGGGAAGACGGAGGCTGTGAGCAGACCAGGTATGGCCAGGTGGCTCCCCCGTGGCTCCCTCCCCACGCACGTTTTCCATGCCCCTCACCTCGGGCACGCTTCTCCCGGTGACTCGACGCCAGGCTCAGGAGCACGCTCTTCACCCGGCGCTGGACAGCTGGCCGCCCGAAGACGGTGATTTCCACCAACTTCCCGGCGTGAACTGCGTCCACCGTCAGCAGGGCCTGGCTCATCCACTCCATTTCCGGAACCACGGCTCGGTCCGGGCCTGAACGCGAAAGGAGAGACTGAGCGGGGCACGGAGAAGGGCAGGAGGAGCTGGCCCGAAGGGGACAGAACGGGCAGGACAGGAAGCCAGGCACAGCGCATCACACGCGGCCCGCGCGTCCGGAAAGGGTTGCGGAGCGCGGCTCGGCGGCCTCTCCCGACTGGGGGGCCACCACCACGCCCCGGGTCGCGCACCGAAGATCGAGTCGGCCAGCCACGCCTCCAAAGAAAACACCAGCGGGTTCCTCAGCTCCTGCACAGGAAACCACCACGGCCGGGAGCGAATCCGTGGCGGCGTAAATAGGAACCCCAGCAGCCCGTCCCCCCGGCCCTCGGCGGCGCCCGCGTCGTCGACCATGCTCGAACCGGCAGCCAGCGGGTAAGGGGCAAGCAGCTCTCGCGGGATTTGTGGAGGCGCGAAGTTGGGCCCTTTACGGCTTGCGGCCGGCTCCGCCCCCTCCGGTGCGCCTGCGCCCTGCTCCCGGGCGGCCCTGTGGGCGAGGGCTGCGGGGGCTCTGCGTACCGCCACGCGTGGCGTTGCCCCGCTTTCTCCTCCGCCCGGAACCCCGGCGGCTCTCGGAGACGCCGCCCGGTCAGGTAACGCCCGGCCCCGAGGCGCCGGGGTTGATGGACGGTGTGGTTGGCTGGAGCGGGGTCCCAGCCAGGCCCGGTCCAGGTTCAAAGGTTGCGCCCGAGGAGGGTAAGGCCGAGGGCGGGCTCGTGGAATGTGCATCTTCTCTTTCATCTCCTGCCTCTGGTTCGTTACCGCTTCAGAATCATTCAAACAAGTGCGTCGTGTTTATAATACAGACGTCAGACGTGGGCATTCTAGAAACGTAGCAAGTGGAGACAAATCTCGTTTATTTCCAAAATTAAGAGACGACGAGTGTTGATGCACATTTCTTCCCAATGTTCTTAATTTTAGTTAAAAGTTTAAATTGTGAAAGATTTCACACATTTAAAAAAGTTGTATAACAAACACTCATGTACCCCCCTACCCCCCATTTAACAAGATGTTAATATTTCCCACATTTGCCCCGCTCTCTCACCTTTCAAACAGATGTCGGTGGAGACCTTTCCTTCCCTCGCCGCAGGAAATCATGTCCTGAAATCGGTGTGTCACCCGTGCGTGTTCTTATACTTCTCCTAGTGCATTTCTACAAGTTTGGTAGTTGTTTTAGAATAGACAGCGTCTGCTGTACAAACGACTTTGTTCTTACAATTAGTTACGAAGTGTTTGTTTTTTAAATATTTTTCACGTAAAGTGTCGATTATTTACATAAGGGGGATGGTACTAATGTACTGAATTCCCTCATCTGCATCATCTAGGCCTCAGCAGTTGTCTGAGAGGAGATATTGAATCTAACTTGTGGATATTTTTATTCAATTTAATTTAAAAAGTCAACATAATAATACATACATATTGTAAAAAAAAGTCTTGAGGATATAAGGTAGTGTATGAAAGTTCTCTCATATATTCTCCCTTAATCTCTTACTAATTCTTTTTCAATGGTGTATACTGTGAATATCTTTTTAGTTTAAATTGTCTTTTCGCCTTCTTTAAGGTTTCTTTTGATGAATACAATTCTTAATTTTAGTATAGTCAGATTTATCAGTCTTTAGGGTAAGTACATTCTGTGTCTTGCTTAAGAAATCCTTTCCCGCCCTGAGGTCTAAAGACATTCACTATACTTTTGAAGTTTCCATCATAACGTTTGAATTCTTGAACCACCTGGGGTTAATTTTTTAAATCGGGCATAATGTAGGGATATGATTTCATCCTTTTATAAACTGATAATTTTTTCCTTGAGCCATTCTCTTCGGGATGCATCCAACTTGAGGCCTCTTCAAATTACATCCTTGAAAAATTTCAGACTCCTGCATGTAGCATGAGTTGGCCACAAGGCTGGTTTGTGGTAGTTCATCATTAGATCAAGACATATGTGAGAAAAGGGAAGGTCAAGAAAATTTCCTGTGGCATTCTCATGTGGATGGCAAAGTTTATTTCCGATTCAGTTTTGTTTTGGAAGTGTAGTCATTTGGGGTCTTATGCAGAGACCCCCATGTTAAGTTTCCTACACTTGGCAAGCCTTGAGTTGTATTAGCTGACCCATGCCAGCTTCAAAACAGAATTGTAAGGTTTTTAGTCTTTAGCAGAATCTGACAAGATGAATCAGTTTTGTCACTCTGTACCTCCAAGGCTTCCTGCTTTGACTCTGATTGGTGGGACAGAGTCATGATCTGAATACTGGCTCCAGCATTTTCTAGTACCTTTCGTTTAGTTTCACCAGTTGTTAACGTTTTGCTTCGTTTATTTTCTCTACCTACACATCCTTTTTCATGAACTGTTTGTAAGTTGCAGGCATCATGACACTTTATCTCAAGTGTGTGACTGAATGCAAGTTATTTCTGCACCCCATAAAAAATTTTAAAATACTAGCAAGAAGACTTCCAGGGGATCGCTTGCTTTCATTTTATCTGCTTAGCCCTCGAAGAACCAGTCTGAGGGTATTTGGGTTCAGTCAATAGTATATGAGCGAACTGGTTTTGTAATTTCTCATTGAGAATCTTTGTTCTTCATCACTTCACTTCTTGTAATCTTCAGTTCCTAAGACGACATCTCTATACAATGAAAAATGTTACAAAGTATAATGAACCCAGTTGTTTTGTACCAAAGAATAACATCAAAGAGTACGTCCCAGATAGTTAGAGGAAAGTGGTCAAAATGAGGAAAATAAACTAATAAGGAGATATTAAATCACTGTCAGACGAGGAGCAATTATGCAGAAAAAGAATACAATAAAAGCTGTATTCTGAACAATAGAGGACAATCTTGTAATGTTTAGGTGCATTTACAAACAGTAACTGTATACCAGTTCCCCTGGGTGGATGGATGGATGGGTAAACTAATAAATAAGGAGATATTATACCACACTACTAAATAATACTCAAGTAAAGCAAGAAATGAAAATCATCACTGACAGGCTATTTGGAATATAACAGTAATTTACAAAGTACCTTTTTAAAACATTATGGACAGTGTACATTCTGAAGAATCTAGTTTTCAATCCCCTCTCATCCATCCTGTCTGCTCCTCCCTGATATAGTTAACTATTATTAGTTTTTTTCAGTTATCCTTCCATTAAAAAAATGTATAGATAAGGATCTGGGAGTTTTTGCTTTTATTTTTTTTGTAATATTACAGGTATTTTATTGTGCTCTTTTTGCACCAACTTTTTTATTTTGAAAAACTCTAAACCAATGGAAAAATTATAAGAACATTAAATTTACACTCAGTACCTTTCGTTTAGTTTCACCAGTTGTTAATGTTTTGCTTCGTTTGTTTTCTCTACCTACACATCCTTTTTCATGAACTGTTTGTAAGTTGCAGGCATCATGACACTTTATCTCAAGTACTTCAACATTATCTCCTAAAAACAAGGACATTCTCCTCTATAACCATACGAAATTATTCACTCAGGAAATTTAACGTTGGTCTAATACGGTTGTCTAATATATGATACAATTTCATTTTCCCCAATTTTTCCAATAATGTATAGCTAATATAGAGTCATTCTCTGTTGCTGTTATTATTGTTTAATGACATTGACATTTTTGAAATATTTTAAATTTTTTTATTGTGGAAAATTTCAAACATACAAAGGTAGAGAAGATAGTATAAATGAATGACCAATATACTTATCCTATATACAACTTCAAAAAGTATCAACTCATGGATTATCTTGTGTGGAAATAAAGATCACCCAAGTGGGGACAAGCGAAGGCTCTTTATTCAGAGCTTGCTATAGTAAAAGGGAGTCAGCCACCATCACTTGTGTTTGGCGGAGTGTCAGAAGCAGGCAGAGGAGCGGGAAAACTTTCTATAAAGTGGAAAAAAGGTGTGCCTGAAGGGGGTAGGTGTGGGCCTGGGGAAACTGTAGGTGGGCTTACTAGAAGCGGGGCATCGTATGTGATTGGTTAGGGGGTGCGTATCTGGCTTTCCCAGTTGGTCCTCAGTTGACATCAAAGGCAAAAATTAGCAAAGCTGTCAGTTATTAATCAAGTCCTGGACATCTTGTGTTGCTGCCATAGGGGTTGTTTGGCTTCCTGGACTGCATGCTGAAGATGGTGGCTCAGAGTTCTATTTTTATGTTTAGTCTGGCCATTGTCTGTATATTCAGTTTCTTGGCCCCTGTTTTTGACACTTCTCTCATTTGCTGGAGGTTGACGAATTCAGGGAAGGCCAAAGATCCAGGTCTTCACTGCTTGGAGATGGCTCAGCTGTCTGCATGGCCAACTGCATTGCAAGATCTTCTTGCCCTTTTTGTTGTATCATCATGGAGATAACTGATGAGAGAACGAATGTAGAAGCATTTAAGACTCTGGATAGAATGTGTCAAAAGATAATTCAGAGAGCTTTACTTGAGATGAATATTTTATTAAGTGAGAAACAAACCGTTCACAAACAGGGAGACTTCCAAACCAAAAGTGGCTTAAAGCTCCACTCTGAGCACTTACAGCTCAGCTTATAAAGCATGAGGAGGTACATTGTTTTGTATTGTGATTCTAATTGGCTGCCAGAAACTTACATTCCTTTTAGAGTGGTAGTATTACATAAGCTTACTTTTTTACTGTAGCTGATTTGCTAGGTTATGCTGACATGAAGAAAGCTTAAGTTTTGTTTAAGGTCAGAGTCATCATTTCAGGGAAATCAGGACAGCTTTAAGTTTTGATTAGATGACTCTTAAGTGTTTGGTCTAGGTCTGTATTCAAACTGTGGCTTCCATTTTGGTTTCTCTTTAACTATGACAAAAACAAGAATTAATAATCCCTGTAAAATGCTTTGGAACCAGTTATCCTAACTGCTCCACCTAGGCCAAGAGAACAAATCCAATAGAACATGAGAGTCATGTGCCTTTTCCTTAAGGTGATACATAGCTTGTTCCACTTTGCCTGTTTCATTGATCCAAGTACAACAAGAAGTATAAGCAATGACACAGACAGCACCATGGCTAGCCAATAAGGAATCTACAGCAATGCAATTGTCCATTGTTACTCATGCCAATGTGTTGAGACTGATCTCTGTTCCATCTGGTATCATTAATAACTTCTGCCAAAGTTTGTGATAGGTTTCTTCCCATCTTTTCTATTTGTATGGTTCCTACCGATGGGGACACTGCTTTGACTGTTCTCATAAATAATCAGTCAGTAATTCCCCTAGGTTGTGTGCCTGAATAATCAAGAATGGCCTCATTTTGGCACCCATGTCTAGGCCAGGATTTCCAGGCTTGATGATTTATAGAATTAGGGTCTCTGTATACAGACAAGTCTCATAATACTATTCCTGAAGTGCATGAAATGTTAGTCTGAGGCAAACAGGACCAGGCAATATGGCCACAAAGGAAGCAGTATCCAGTAGGGATGTGGAAATCCAGGAAAAAATGGAGTTCACGACGTGAAGTTGGAGCCAGGGCCTTACATTAGCTGGGTGACATATCTGGATCTCTCTCAGTCTCTTCCAAGTGATATTTGGCCCATCGTGCTGTGAAGATCGTTGAATCTAAATTTAGAATTACCTTGGGTCAATCAGTAGCTTGTAATAATTGGTTCTTCTTCTGGGAGAGAGGGACACTAGCAGAGTCACAGATTGATTTAAGGTCAATTGTCCACATAGGCGCAAATGGAAACACCGTCAGCTGTAATTCTGATGTCTTTATCATGGGGGTCGGTGATGGACAGCATATCCAGCAGTCAGTAAGACTGAGGGCAGCGGTTACTGTTCAGGATAATCTGAGGATAGCATTAGAATGAGTGTGTTCTGACCTAACAGTTACAATAAGGAGGGAAAAGAGAAAAGCGTCCATTACGGGTGGATGACAGCAAGGGGTCTTTAGAAAATGAGAAGAATGATTATAAACAAACAAAACAGAAAACAGCAATTAGATAGGTCTCTTAGTCCGACAGCAGACCAAGATCTATCTGTGGCCCTCTATTTGTTCCAGAGGTCTGGGCTAGCTGTCTGCTTCCCGAGATTGGCTTCTGGAAGATCTCCGAGAGTACTGAGTTTGAGGTCCCATATTGGAGTAGTTTTCCAATTGTGTGCAATTGTGAATTGCCTTTTTAGTTGAGAGGCATGAACCCGAATATTGACTGCCTGGGGTTTCACTGTTTCCCTGGTGTTAACAGTACCTGATAAAGCCCCTTCCAGCGAGATTCAAGAGCAGTTTTCCTCCGAGATCTCTTCCTGTTACTGGAATCTCCTGGCCGAGGATCATGAAGAGGCTGTTTAGGAAGGCTCCGTGGGAGGGTGGTCTTGATTGACCTCTTGTGATAGGACTGGGCACAGTACGTGAGTCCCTTGCCGCGTTTTGCCCTGTCTGCGTGCAGTCGGCAGAGTCTAGTGTCAGAAATGCAGTCTCTAAATACGTGCCTCCCAGGTACCAGCTCATTGGAGGATAAGCGGTACGTGCCTGAGGGAGAGGACAGCATGGCCATAAGGGCTAGTGGGAGTACCTCTGGCCAAGTGAACTCGAAGAGTTTGTGAAGGTTGTGCTAATTTTAATTTAAGGATGTTAATTCCTCCTTTTGACCTTTCCAGAAACTGTAGTTTTTGAATAAGAGATGACACCTTACAAAGTTCTTTTATAAAGGTTTCTGTAAAGTGTGTGCCTCAATCACTTGATATAAAGGTTGGGATGCCCCGGGTTGGAAACACAAAATCAAGCAGCATTCTAGTGACTAGAAAGGGTGTAGCTTTTCAGCAAGAAAATGCTTCAACTCATTCTGGAAATAGACATACAATAACTAAACATACTCAAGTCCCATGAAGGGTGAAAGCTGGATAGCCCATCTGAAGGTCTTCATAGGGCCCTTGAGGCTTTGCTTCCTGGCAATGTCCCACCTTTATGTTTTTTTCAGTCTTACGGTGTTGACAGGTGGCACGTAATCTGAAAACAGCCTTAGTTTTCTTTCTAAAGTTTCTCCATCAATGTTGATTTATGATAATAACCAATTTGTCTTTTCCATGATGGGTAGTTTCATGGAGAAATTTAGCAAATAGCCATTTGAAATCATCTGGAGCCACCAGGTGCCATGTTGAGAGGGCCAGAGATTACCTGAGCAGAGGGTACAACCAGCTTTTCCCGTTCTTCCTTTTCAAAATTGGGGGCTAAATGTTGATATTTTATAACATTCTTTTATGTTAATAATTTATCGTTTGGAGGCTTAGATAGGATCATAACTTTGGTTAAAATGGTTTGTTTGGGGCTTCCCTGGTGGCTCAGTGGTTGAGAGTCTGCCTGCCGATGCAGGGGACGCGGGTTCGTGCCCCGGTCTGGGAAGATCCCACATGCCGCGGAGCGGCTGGGCCCGTGAGCCATGGCCGCTAAGCCTGCGCGTCCGGAGCCTGTGCCCTGCAACGGGAGAGGCCACAACAGTGAGAGGCCCGCGTACCGCAAACAAAACAAAACAAAACAAAAAAAACCCAAGAGCTTGTCTAGATCACTCATGCAAAATTACATGAAATGGCTTTTGCAGTTAGGGATGTCGTGGAAAGGAGGCTGTCGGGCTCAGCTGAGCTGGGACAGAGAATGGGGCTGCCAAGAGTCAGGGTAGCTGATTAAAGCAACAAGCTAAGAGGCTAAACCTGAGGAAGTGTTGCCCCCTGTTCCATCTTCCCTCACGGAACAAGGTTGGGTAGGAGGGAAAACAAAAGGCTCTGGCAGTTTTACGATCCTGGGATGAGTGGGGGGCAGAGGAGGAGGGAAAGAGGAAGGTCTCGGAGTGGAAAAGTACCAGATACTGAGCCAGAGTGGGGAGGTGTCTTCCCGGTTCCCCCTTCTCCCCACCCCATGAGGATGCCTCCGCAGGGGCTCCTGAGCTCCTGGAGAAGAGCTCTTCCCCAAGGCCTCTGACAGAGACCTAGGAATGTAAATATTCAAAAGCGCTTGACATGGGGGCTGGGGGCTCAGCCTCAATGCTCCCTGCAGAGACTAGGTGCTTTGCTTGCGTGTCCTCTGAATGGAGTCTGTCATCAATTGACTGCTTTGGGTAGGATACATTCTCCTGTTCTTGGCTGAGAAGTGCCTTGATGTTGACACTTGGATGTCTGAAAATGTTTTAAATTCTCCATCTGTCCATAATTTGGCTGGGTTACATTATCCTCGTCTTAAGTAATTTTCCTTCAGAATCTTTACAGCAATTCTCCACTGTCTTCTGGCCTCTAACATTGCTAGAGAACCGAGATGCCATTCTGATTCCTATTCCTTTTTTTTTTTAAGACTTTATTTTTTAGGACTTCCATGGTGGCGCAGTGGTTGAGAATCCACCTGCCAACGCAAGGGACGTGGGTTCGAGCCCTGGTCCGGGAAGATCCCACATGCCTCGGAGCAACTAAGCCTGTGCGCCACAACCACTGAGCCTGTGCTCTGGAGCCCGCAAGCCACAGCTACTGAGGCCCATGCACCTAGAGCCCGTGCTCTGCAACAGGAGAAGCCACCACAATGAGAAGCCTGTGCACTGCAATGAAGAGTAGCCCCGCTGGCCGCAGCTAGAGAAAGCCCATGCACAGCAATAAGGACCCAACGCAGCCAAAAATAAATAAATAAAATAAA